TGCTGCTGAACCTTTTTTGATAGCTTGGCCTTTTGGAAATCGTTTTCTGATGCCAAGGCTGCCAGACTGGTCTATGTTATCAAAATATACGTGGGCTTCCCTGTTTTAATGTAGAGCACAGTAATGAAAATAATAGGATCTGTTTGCGTAGTAGAACAAAAGGGATTTTAACAATAATGTTTACTAACACTCCCAATTTTCAATACAGATTACTTATACTGAATTGTTCTGCAACAGTGTTTACTTACAGAAGTGGCTTTCTGTTCAGTTCGTATATTTAAAATCTGACTGTTGAGCTGTTCACATACTGAACATCTTTTTATCAACAAACTGAAATTGCTTGTTCAGGTCCGAGGGTTTTTAATGCGATCCATCACATCGTGGTTTTTCAGGCTGGGTTTGCTGGTACAGAATATCCATTCTAAATTGCCATTTGACGTTGGAAGCCTTGGAGAATAGTTACTTTGGGGAGCGACGCACTCTTTGCACAAAGAAAAGAGCTCTAATGAGCTACCGTTGTTTATTTTTCTATAATATAATTGATTGGGTTCAGTAAATAATGTAGCATCTGTTGTTATACTGTGTGGGGAAATGTCAAAACAGAAAGATAGTAAGCAGGTGGTTGAGAGTGGAGAGAGAGAAAATTAAAATAGAATCTATTTAAAATATAATCTCGTAGTAGATGGGCAAAAATGAACTCAAGTTCTATGTATAAATATTTATACTGAGATATAATTTGCTCAGAGGTTCGTGTGTAAGAAGTAGACTATCTAAAAGCCTTCATCATCTTGCTTCTGCCCAGTCCTTTCTCTAATGTAAATGTTCCTCCATTGATTTGTTACTAAATGACCTTGGGGAGGTTTTCAAAGGCACAAATAGCAACTGTGTATCTTGAAAGTTCCTCCAAAAGACAAAAAAATCTGTGCCTGGCAGCCTCTTCAGTTTGGAGGATTGCCTTTTGGGTGTATTTTGGGGGAGGCAGCGTGCTCATGCTGCTCCTTCCACTCATTGACGTCTCATTAACTGCTGCCTTAAGTGAGGTGGTACTGTAACAAAACTCCTTTCTGAGTATGATCTAATTTTTAACAGATGCCAGTGTCTCTCCATGAGTACTAACAGGGCTCAGTACCCTCAAAAATCAAGCCCAGCTCATTCAGTTTTATACTATTAGGCTTCAATTTTGTAAAAGAACTTCTGATCAAATTACTAGTGTTGTAGCTCCCAGAGGCAGAGGACAGAGAACAGAGGGCTTGGCTCCTGCACTTGGAAGTCCTGACATCAGTATACACAATGTTAGCAGAAAGACAATCACACACATTTTCTGACATGTAATGGCATTGCAATTTTGGGGCTGATTTCATGCAAATTTATTTTGCATAAAATATTTTTGAATAAAATGCTGATTTGATTCCAGAAAAGGAGCACACCTTAGGACCATATTCCTGCAAATAACAACAACTGCTTGCTTTAAATCTTTAAAGCTCCCATGTCTGTTCTCCCAGTTTTCTTCTCTGACCATTCCTGTTATTCCTGCTTTTGTGTGTACTCTATGTATCTAATGGACCTTCATGATATTTTTGGTAGTGTCTTTTAACAGCATTTTAATTTATCTATTGTAGATCTCCTGCGTATATTTCTTTTCACTCTGAACTGCTACTGTCTTGTCTTCGCTGCAGATGGTCAATTCCTCTGCTCAAGAGGAAGGCGATCTGATAATTGCATTTAAAGAAATACTTTTTCTGCCTTTTAATTTATACCCTTTAAGGAAGCAATTGGCCACAACAATTACTCTCTCGTTCAAATTTTTTCCAAGGCTTTCTGCCAAATGATTAAACAACTTATTCCCATTGTGCATTAACTGTAGACCTAATAATATGTGTTATAAAGAAGGATTTATTTTAATTAGTTGTCTGGTGGAGTGTTATTAAGGAATGAATAAAAATGATTTTGTCATTGAGCTATAAAGCCCAGCTATGGCTCTGGAGCACCATGGCACATCCTGAAGTTCTAGAAGAAACAAAAAGAAAAGCTTTCTGTCCTTTTCTTCTGTTACGTTGCAACCTAAATAGTTATTTTTCCTTCCTTAGGCTATCAGGCTCTCTCTTGAGCAATCTTTGCCTCCTGAACCAAAAGAGGAGAGCACTGAGTCCGTCAGTAAACTGCGTATTCGGACGCCCAGTGGAGAGTTCTTTGAGCGACGTTTCCTGGCCAGCAGCAAGCTGCAGGTTGTCTTTGATTTTGTAGCTTCCAAGGGATATCCTTGGGAAGAGTACAAGCTGCTGGGCACCTTTCCGAGGAGAGATGTGAGTAAATGTACTTTTCAGGAATACACACCACTCTTTTTCTTACTCCTGTATGTTAGATGACCAGTATGTTATAGCATAGAAGGAAAGACATGCCTGGATTTTAGAGTGCTGCCAAGCAAGCCAGGTGCTAACCTGCCAGTGCTATCATGCATTACATACAAAACTGCCCTGTGAAGTCTGTTTCCAGCAACGCTGTAAAAAATCCTCCCATTTCTGAAACAACCTGTGGGACATGTTCAGTGAAATCTGCCCAAATATGCTGAGCCAGCATCACTCACGTCCTGCTTTGAAGGAAGCCGCATCGATATGAATGCGCTGTTTAGGTCTGCTGTGGGCTGGTTCTTCTGATCTTCCTGGTTTTGCTGTTTTGACGCAATTTTATGTTAGGAGCAAGAAAGGCTTGGTGTCAAATAGTATACAGTCATGAGCTAATTAGTACATTCTAATAAATTATTCATCCAGCCATTACATAATACCAGTAAATAATCATTTCTGTCTCCCACCTCAAAATTCTAATGATGTACCTGCTGTGACCCATTTTCAAAATCAATACTGCTTACAAAACCCAATTAAATTCTGTCAATTTATCAACACCTATTTATATGCTGGTTACTAAGTTTCTTTGAAAATATGTTTTCTGCTCTCTGAGAAATTAACTTTTATTTGTTATTTAGCCATTGTTAGAGCAAAGGTGAAAGTCGGTGGCTCCAGCTGTGCACTTACCTGGGGCCCTGCTTAAAAGGTGAAGGTAACAGGCACTACAGAGATGACAGTGCAGAGCCAAGCAGTGATGTGTGAAAGTCAGCAGTTTTTTGGCCATATTGCCTCAGTGCTGCCAAGGATTGGGGGCAATTGTGGATCAGCCGGGGTTTTGTTTGCTCAGGGCATCTCCAGGTGACTGGTTAAGCCATTTCTCATGAAAGGAGCTCTGAAACTTGGTTGCTTTTCCATTTTGTTTCCCATCACAGCCCCTGGAGGAAGTTCACTAGGAATAAGGCTCTGATTAGCACATTTGCAGCACTGTTTTGTAACAGATACCTCTTGCTTCATCACCTTATTTGTGAGAACTCCAAAGGGGAAGAAAATAATGTCCTTAGCAAGTGTAAAGCCTTGAGAGTGAATGCAATTTCTGACCCATTTTTGGCATAAGTCTGTGAACAGGACTGTGGTGCTTACAGCTTTTCTTCCACCTTGTCTTATATTGAGAATCCTAATCACTCAGTCTGAAAAGCAGCATTTAAGGAATCTCATTAATCACTAATTAACTTTAATCCTTAAGCATGTAATATCATTTCCAGTGGAACCAAAGACTAAAAGAGTCACCTGTGTTTCCAGAATTACTGATTTTTCAGTTAACTTGACAGAAGGAAACCAATCTTGTACGGTCTAAATGGTTTGATGCATTTAAAATATTTTGCAAGTCATACCTCCCTGCCTGTAACAGATTTATGTATTAGTATGTATTTAATATAAAAACCCTACAAGTCTCTTTTTACATTTCTTTTGCATTTTAAACTGGCTGTTCCTGCACATAATGCATCATAATCATTATTAATTTTAGTCCTCTGTAAAAAAACTCAAAAATTGATCAGATGACTCCCATAAGAACAAGTTTTAAAAGGAGTAGAGAAGAAATAAGACCACTAAATTAGAACAGGCTGATATTTCAGTACATTTGTGAAACTGTCAGGGTGAAATCACTGAGGCCAAGAAAGGAGAATTTAATTCCAGGATATGGAGCTGTTGGTCTGTCGTGTGGGAAGCAAAGACCCTGTGATCTTTTTTTCTGTGATTCCAGCCTAATAATGCCATGTATGAGGAGTCACATAAATGATTCATGGCGATTGACTCAGCGGCCGTGTATGAATCTGGTTGCCATTGTGACCACCAAAGCTACAACAGAGAAAATAAAATCCCCAGGGATTTGCTAACCACTGAGAACTATAAACGACATTTGCCACGTTCCCTAGGTTTTGAAAGTTGGAAGTGTGCAACTCCACAGACAGGTATAAAAAAAAAAGAAGTCACTGATGAGTGTCTTGGAATTACAGTACAAGTATATGTTCATTGCCTAGGGTTCTTGGTACATGATCTCTTAAAAATACACCATAAGTTGTCAAGACCGTTCTGCTTTATGATATATGTCACAAACGTCCATTGAAAAATGTGCAACAGGAACAGGGCACTTGGGACACTTGTGCTTCAGAAAACAATAGCATTTAAAATATGTTTCTATTGAAGCAATACATAACATTTTTGAAAAAATAAGTTTGAAAGTAGCAGAATTACTTTGCTGGAATCTTTTGCTGCAATAAAATGAAAATATGTCTTCTCAAGTTAATATTTTTTCTTTCATCCTGATCTGTGTTACAATAGCATACACACCCCCAAAAGTGTTTCTGGTTTATTGAAACAAGGGGATTATCTTCCATCAGATCAACATTTTCTTGTGTTAAACTTGTTAGAGCATTTTTCACTGCTTTTCAAAGCTATCGGTTCTGATACAGTGTTGTTGAAGTATTTTTACCTCTCTGGTAAATAAAAATTCATTAGTTCTTGGTTCTATGTTCCAGTTGCTTACACAGATATCCTCAGCCAACTTAAAGTTGGTATCTTAACCCTACTGTAAATACAAAATTCTACACATGAGTAAATACACAGATTAACCTTTTCCAGACACTACTTGATTCGAAAGCAGCGGTGACATTCCGAAGCAGTTAAGCACATGCAGTGACTTGTTATTGGGTCTTTGTCACCAACTGTGTTGTTCTTCCTGCTAGCACTGAAGTTAGATGTTAACCACCCTCAGTACCTGAAGCAAGGGTGGGCCTGGGCCAACAGGTAACTGGCACCTCCAATTGGACGACGTTGGGCAATCACGTCTTTCAGAGTGAAAAGCTGTAGTAAAAGTTCTTTGCTTTAATTCTTAAGTGCACCTGCAAAGACTGCGTGGAACCAGTCACCTTTATGCTCAATCTTCTCAGTCAACCTTCTCATTATTTTTTTCTGAGTCCCTTTCTCACACAAACCTTCCCAAACACTAATTTTGGTAGTCTGCTTGATCTGCCAGCCTCCAGATCCAGCTTCTCCCAGTACCTTGGAGACTTCCTGGACGATCAGTTCCTCCCTTCTTTCTGTGGTAGAGACCTGCAGAAGTTGTCCTGAAACTCTTTAACGTCTTATGGAGTGGGTAGTTCACCACACTACAGGCAAGAAGCTGCAACGTGCCAGGTCTATATGAAACTACAGGAGGAAGACACAGAACAAATTTCCCCAAGCTGGGCTTCAGCCATCCTACTAGAGTTAATGATATATGTTTGTGACTGTTCTATGGTATCTCTCAGAAAGGGAGGTCCTGGCATGCCTTCTGTTTTGAAAGACTGAATTTATTAATTTCTTCTGAAAAATCAGAAGAATTTTTCAGATCGTTACAGAATTATAGATTCTATAGAATAATTACATAGAATTATATATTAATGTAGAATAATTCAATTCTAGATTTGCAATTATGCAACCTATAATTTCTTTTGCTTATTTCTCCTTAAGGTGGAGCATTAGTTATGTATTTGAGAGTATGCCTTTTGCAGACATGGTATTAGAGACTTAAGCTCTTTATTTACTATATCTGGAAGCCCTGGTAAGCCAAGACTTCTACAGTATTTCACATTTCATTTTTCTGAGCCACAGCTTAGGATCAGGTGGCAGTTTAGTCACTTAAGGTTATTTAAATGCATCTAAAATGTTGCTTAATAATTCAAAACCAGTTTGCTCTGTTTAGAGTATTAAGATTTTTTAAATCCTTTTAATTAACCAATTTCAGCGGCAGTTTAAATAAACAGAAACAAAAAATCTGTCCCCCTTGAAAGGGCAGAAAACAAATGTACCTCAAACTGCATGTCAATTTAAATTAGGTATGATCAAGATTTCAGTCAGTTTAGGGCCAGACCATTCTCAGATGTAATATGGAAGTATAAAGGAAGATATTCCTTCAGACACAACTGTGGTCATTCATTCCTGGGCTCTGGCAGAAGTAATCCTCTTAGATACCAATGGTGGTGAAAGTAACTCCACAGGATAGCAAGTTTAGCTGCAGCACTCAGCACACAGAGCCACCTGAGCAGGTAACCACCCTCTGGTGTTCTCAGAAGGGTAACATTAGAGGATGACCCCTATATTGCTATGGCAAGTAGTTTGGCAATTTTTTTTGTCAGCTCTAGAAGCCATTCTCTGTGAGAATTATTTTGCATTTCCCCCAGTGTAAACTACTTCCTTCAGTAACCTACTTTTAACTCATTAGGTGGTGTTTAAACTCCTTAAATAGTTCATGAAAGTGTTATATGTTCAGAACCATCTCTAGCTTTTAACATTCTTTTCCCCTAATCATCATCTTAATAGAAAGATGGAAGAAAAACGTTATTGTGAGAAAGGATTCATGTGGTGTCATGGTTATTCCTAGTAGCACTTCTAGTAACTTCCCATAAATCAGGAAAGTAGCTTGAATATCTTACGGCCAAGGAAGATTTTGGATGAATTAAGTATTTTTTTCTGATATATTAAAAAAATTCAAGAATGTTTTTGTGAGTTCAGGGCAAACTTAACACGTTATCCATGTCATTTTTTCCAGTCGTTTCAGTTACTGATATATATATTTCCTACTACATCAAATAGTACTCATCTGCTTTAATTCCTGTAATGTAATTTTTTTCAGGTCAATAAAGATCTGATGGTGGTATGTGTTTATCAGTTCTGATCTAGCTTACACAAGGCCACAGCCACCTACAAAGGTAGACGTCCCTCCTCTTGCCATTTACAAGTGTCATTAAGTCAATACTACCTGCCCTTGTCTTTCCTCTGTTTTCAGGATACATTGTTATTTTATTTATTCAAGCAGTTAAGTTTATTTTAGTTAAGACACTGAGAAGTTGTCTAAGCAAACGGGCCATACCAGACTAGCATATTCCCATGCCTCGTTCAGAAGCATGATTTCTGATTGTTCT